GAGGATTTCACTTTTATCAGTTCCTTCAGTCACACGTTCACACCTCCTCCTCAGACTGATCCTATGTTCATCTAAAACCTCCTCCAGACCAATATCTGCTTGAAGAGAAGAACACATGTGAGATAAATGAAAGTGGTTAAAAATCACAAAACAATTAACAGGAAGAATTATTTTTCCGAAATGAAGACACCAGCCGAAATATGTTGAGACTTACTTTGTATAATGCTGCATCTTTCTCCACATTGAGGACAGCTGGAGTCTCCTGATGGAGTTGGCTGGTCCCAGTATGAGGAGATGCACTGTCTGCAGAACCAGTGTCCACAGCTGGTAGAGACTTGATCCTTCAGGACGTCCTGACATACAGCACTGCTGCACAGATGCTCCTCCACAGGAACACGACTTTTGCTCTTCCCTCTGTGGAGATGAATACATTCTTTATAGCACTTTACATTAGTGGTGGACGATTTTAACCAATGGTACAATAAGGAGGCAAGTTCTGGTTTTAGTACGGCGATTTATGACCCGATTTGAGAAGGATGGGGACACGCCGGATAAAAGCACCACATTTTTTCCATGTGTTCTACATCACTATTTTGGGGGGAGCCATCTTGGATTTCCAAGACGAGCCGCCATGCAAAAGTTATAAGTGCCAATATCTCGGCTTCTAAGCCACTTAGGCAAGGCAAGGCAAGGCAAGGCAAGGCACGTTTATTTATATAGCACCTTTCAACACAAGGCAATTCAAAGTGCTTTACAAAAAATGGAAGACATTAAGAAAATGGCATTTAAAATCAGTCATTAAAAAGCAAAGATAATAAAAGAAACATTAAAAGAAAAAATACATGGATAAAAGTTACAGTGCAGTTTAAGATGTGAATAGTTCAATTAAAAGCAGCGGCAAAAAGAAAAGTCTTCAGCCTGGATTTAAAAGTAGTCAGAGTTGCAGCGGACCTGCAGGTTTCTGGGAGTTTGTTCCAGATATTTGGAGCATAATAACTGAATGCTGCTTCTCCATGTTTAGTTCTGACTCTGGGGACAGAAAGCTGACCAGTCCCTGAAGACCTGAGAGTTCTGGATGGTTCATAATTTAGCAGTAGGTCAGACATGTATTTTGGGCCTAAACTATTCAAAGCTTTATAAACCAGCAGCAGTATTTTGAAATCTATTCTTTGACACACAGGAAGCCAGTGTAAGGACTTCAGAACAGGAGTGATGTGATCCACTTTCTTAGTGTTAGTGAGGACTCGAGCAGCAGCGTTCTGAATTAGCTGCAGCTTTCTAATAGATTTTTTTGTGAGACCTGTGAAGACACCATTGCAGTAGTCCAGTCTACTGAAGATAAAAGCATGGACAAGTTTTTCCAAATCCTGCTGTGACATTAGTCTTTTAATCCTAGATATGTTCTTTAGGTGATAGTAGGCTGATTTAGTAACTGTTTTAATGTGACTGTTGAAACTCAGGTCAGAGTCCATGACTACACCTAGATTTCTGGCTTTTTCTGTTGTTTTGAACATTGCAGACTGAAGCTCAGCGCTAACTTTTATACGTTCTGCCTTGGCTCCAAAAACCATTACCTCAGTTTTATCTTTTTTTAATCGGAGAAAGTTCTGACACATCCAGTCATTGATTTGTTCAATGCACTTACTCAGTGTTTGAATTGGAGCATAATCTCCTGGTGAAATGGTTATGTAAATGTGTCATCCGCATAGCTATGGTAACTTATTTTGTTGTTTTTCATTATCCGAGCCAGTGGTAGCATGTAGATGTTAAAGAGAAGAGGCCCCAAGATGGAGCCTAGTCATATTTGTCAACTCAGATGTGTATTTACCTATAGAAACAAAGTTTTTTCTGTCCTTTAAGTAGGACCAATTTAGAACTGTTTCCGAAAGTCCCACCCAGTTTTCTAGTCGGTCTAGTAATATGTTGTGGTCAACAGTGTCAAACGCAGCACTGAGATCTAATAATACTAACACTGAAGTTCTGCCACTGTCTGTGTTTAAGTGGATGTCATTGAAGACCTTTACAAGAGCAGTCTCAGTGCTGTGGTTTGGACGAAAGCCCGACTGGAACACATCCAAACAGTTATTTAAATGCAAGTAATTACTCAACTGTTGAAAAACAACTTTATCAATGATTTTACCTAGAAATTGCAGGTTTGATATTGGCCTGTAATTGTTCATTACTGAAGCATCTAGATTATTATTTTTTAAGAGCGGTTTAATGACTGCAGTTTTCAGGGCCTGTGGAAAAACACCTGAGTAAAGAGACTTGTTTACCATGAGAAGTAGATCTGAGGCCATGCAATGAAAAAATCCTGTTGGAATAATATCAAGGCAGCAGGAGGAGGATTTTAGATGTTGTATAATGTCCTCAAGGTTTTTATCATTAATCTGATGGAATTGTGTCATGGTGTTTGAATTGATATTAGGTGGACATAGGGATTTGCTGTACCTGATGCAGAGGCACTGACTGCTTGTCGGATTTTCTGAATTTTGTCAGTGAAGAAGGAGGCAAAATCATTGCATGCCCTGGTGGATAGAAATTCAGATGCTACTGACACTGGGGGGTTTGTTAGTCTGTCGACGGTAGCAAACAAGGCACGTGCGTTGTTTTTGTTTTTGGTAATGATGTCAGAGAAGAAAGACTGTCGTGCGTTTTTCAATTCCAAATTATAAAGGCCAAGTCTCTCTTTATAGATTTCAAAATGAACCTGGAGATTTGTTTTTCGCCACCTACGTTCAGCTTTTCAACACTCTCTTTTTTCTGTTCTCACGGTCATGGCCTTTCTCCATGGAGATATTTTCTTGCCAGTCACTTCCTTTACCTTAGTTGGAGCAATGGCATCTATAACATTTTTAATTTTTGAATTAAAATGATCTACTAGCTCATTTACTGAGATGTTAGCAAGGGCAAGTGTGGAAGAAAAATTGTGAGTAAACATTTCCCTAGTATTTTCTGTTAAATATCGCTTTGTGGTTACCTCTTTTTGAACATTTTTGTTAACAGAAATAGAGCTCTCAAAGAAAACACAGGAATGATCAGAGAGTGCAACATCAGTCACCACAACCTTTGAGATATTCAGACCCTTTGAGATAATTAAGTCCAGAGTGTGCCCCTTATTGTGCGTGGGCTCCGTCACATGCTGAGTCAGTCCATAGTTATCAAGAACACAAAACAGTTCTTTAGCCCCCTATATCCTGGGGGTTGACTTAGGTCAATCTTGGTGTCAAAGTACACATTTTCTAGGTCAAGCAATGCATTAAAGCTATTGAGAATATCATTAGATGATTATTTATACCAAGATCAAATAAATATGGTAATACTGGCAATGTATTCACATCATTTTTTACTTGGTTCCTAAGCGGCTTGACTATAGGTCATATGTACAATAATAGTCATATACATGTACATTGATAAATGGACAATATGCATGAATTGAATTTAACTTTGTTTGCTTCTTTTTTTAACATAAAGCATTTTTACATCTAGGCTATAATTACATTATCTGTCACATTTACAACTGCAAAGCTCTGTGCATTTCCAGTGTGCCTTCTTGCATGAGCACCTTGCACCACAGCCACTTGCACTTTTACAACCACACTTGACGAGTTCTCTCTCCGTGCTTCATTTACAGATTCCAAATCACTTGTCTTGTCGTAAAGGACTACTGTGTAGCGCTCTAGAAGTCGAAAGTGTTCGGCATCTATGATCACGGGAGTGTGCGGATTTGCTGCCATGTAGTTGAAGGCTTGGGTGACCTCAGGGTAGGAATTCCACGCATCCCATGCTGACTTCTTCCCCTTCCCGCAGAAGGCTGAGGTTGTTGCAGCCGGTGCAACAGTGGAAGACGGGAAGTGCTGTTGACCTGTCTTTGCCCAAAGTATGGCAGATGGTATTGATGTGATGATAAGTGTAGTTTTTGCCGGTGCCAAAAGCGACCCAGATGTCTGCAGCTGGATACTTGGTGAGCAGGGCATGGAACTTGCCGATGAGGATAACGACAACATCCGTATCCACAGTGCGTACCAAGCAAGTAGAAGAGCCATGCTCCAGGGCATCAAGCAGATGAATCATAATCCTGGTGTCAGCCTCTTCATGGTTACATGGCAGCATGAAGTGGCTGGTGTCTGTGCCAACTACTCTGACGGCAGATGTAATGAAGACCTGCTTGCCAACCGGCATGCTTAAAGAAGGTGCTCATATCCCCCTCTCTGTGTTGCATGGCTATATATAATTGGGAAAAGAGTGCCACATCATCCCTCAACATTGAGATCTGCTCTGCCTGCTTGGTCTTGGTCATGGGTGTTGGGCATCTAAAGAGAGGCAGTGAGTTATTTCTGTCCCTGATCACTGTCTTATGGTACTTGTTGTACTGATCTCTGCCCACTGATTCCACAGTGCGGACTGTGTTAACAACAGACACGTCAATGATATTCCGTGTGTCCAGCATTAGAAGATCGGGGGTATCATCTAGGAATGGATTGCTCATCCCACTGATGGTGTGCACCAGAGCTAGTGCTTGCTCTTTGAATGTCTTCTGTGTAGACATTCCTTCTTCATGGTTGTGTTGTTTATTGCCTTTTTCTAAAATATACTCCTGCTCAAACTCTTTCAGGAGTCGTGCTTGATCAGGCCCTACAATCATCCACTTTTTGAAGGCTGAGGGATTCTCGGTGAGTCCCACAGCACCCCCAGAACCCTTAACCAGATCATTATTCTGCTCATGAGCCTGGTCTATCGGTATGCTTGAGAATCTGTTTGTGGTGTTAGGAACAACCCAATGACCATGTTCTTCAAATTCCTTGTGAATGGAACACACTACTCGGCTATGTGAGTTGTGTCAGTGGCAGTGGGTAGAGATGAAAAGGGAGTCGGAATTTAGAAAATATATTTGTTCAATCTCAGTAATGTATTCATTGAAATTGGGTCCTAAAGAAGGGGTCTACAATGTGCCAAATGTAATTGATATATTGCCCGAATGGACCAAATAATTAAATATTGGCAAACAATAGTCACATTATGATATTCTCAAAAGCTTTAACCAGTTAAATCCCACGGCCCCGCGGGCGGGGGCAAAACGCAACATCTTGCAAGAAACAGCGTCTGAGGGCTTCTTAACATTTAATAAACTATGAATGTGTCATATCCACTTAACGGGAAGAAACTCAACTATCAGACAATATTAACAATTTTTTGCAAAATGAAACATAAGGGTAATAACAAAGGCCCTGAATTCGCCCTGAGCGAAAAAATGCTAACACACTTAGCACAGAACTCACGTTAAAATAGGCTACCCTTATTATTATCGTATCTGCACAAACAATATATCGATTAGCAAGCTGAGATTCCAGAGATTCCAGACATAAGTATCATCACTGAGCGATCAGAACTCGTGGCGAAACGACAACAAACAA